TCTGTGAGTTGTGGCCTGTGCAACTTCCTGATAGGACGTCTTGTGTCAAATGCTAGGCTTTGAGTTGCGAAAGTCTCCAAACTCCATACTCGGTATTGTCTTGACCAGTTCATGCCTGGCTTCACTTCGTACCCTGCGAATACTCCTGGTATCCCTTTAGGATCAAATTTGTGCTTCAGGAGTACCCTTCCTTGACTGCTGGGCATGAAGAAAACCTTGGCACCGAATGGTATCTTTTCGCCGTGAAATTCTTTCCCGTGAAGTTTGAATCATGGGCTTTTCTCATCTTCTCCACCTTCAATGTTCAACAAGTGGCTGATACATTCCACAGCGTGGTTCCAGAAGCACGGCGGAAGACCCGCTTCCAGCAAGCATGTGGTGGTGGTTGTCATGATGAACTGATTGTTCCTCTCTGCCAATGAGTTGTTGTGTGGGTGATGTGGTAGTGAGTGATCGAATGGGATCTTCAACTTCTTCATTGTCACTTCAAACTCAGGGGCTTTGTCTGCGTAAGCAATCTTGATCTTTCTGAGCCCTTTAAAGTGGTTCACCGCATTGATCACATCAGCTGTGTGAACTTCTCCACTGACGGATATGCCCAGATGATTCCTGTGTATCGACCTCGGTTCACAAATGTTTCTCTGTCGGTGTGAATTCCTTGGTCCATGATCCTCTGAGTGTCGATGAAGTCAAAGGTGACTAGGTCTCCAAATGCTTTGAGTTTCCTTTTGAATGCACCTCTGTGAGTCTTGTAATGTCTCATCTTAGCCCTGATACATGATTCACAGTATGGATTCTTGCTACGATGAGTGAGGAGGTGTTGTATCGTTCTTGCTTCAGCCTTGAGCGTTCCTCGCCTCACCATCCTACTCGCGCCGTCAACGACCTCAACCTCGAGATCGTCAGCGTCGCCCTCATCGACTACTTCCTCCATCTCTTCAGGATCTCCATGTTCTTCCTCTTCTTCTGTGGAACGCAAGGTTGATCGTCAACATCACAATTGAGTCCTTGGGGATCGACCTCATGATCCACAATCTCTGGCTGGTAGCTCACATTTATGTCACCAGTGATCATTCTGGAAATATTCTCAGTTTGTTCATCAACCATTGGGGAACAGAAGTCACTGTCTTTCACGATGTAAGGAATGTTGCCTTCCGGCCACACGAATGAATCCTTCTTCCATACATTTCTTACCTACTGACGACACAGAAGGTGATTCATCCAACACGTACGGGGTATGAGTGGATTCAAATTCATCGAAGTGAATCTTAGCAACATCATTTGTACTTGTCACACCATTTGCCGTGAAGAATGACAGAGGATGCACATTCTTTTCAACCTCCAGGCCCAACTTCTTGGCTCTTTCTTTGAGATCAAGTCATGTCCACATCCTGTGCCCATGATGAACTTCGCTCTTGACCCTTTTGCAGGTACTGACAATGTTTGCACTTCACCTTTTAACCCGTGTTTGCCGCAAACGTGAGGTATTAGCTTGTGATGGTACACCAAGCCTTCCTCCTCATCGAACCTCATCGTGATCGCATGGGAATGATCAGTGATCTCCCTTGTTTCATATCTCTTGATATCTGGTCACAACGGTTTCCTAACCACGGGTTTCCAAATGTCTCTGATGGAATACACAGCCTCGTTGAGAATGATATCACCGACATCCGCGTCAAATGATACCTTCTTTTGTTGAGGTTTATCTTCACGCTTGCTGCAATTCCTTCATCATCCGATTCTTCCAAAATGAGTGAATCTCCCACTGCCGGGGCACGAGGCTTTCCCTTAGGCTTCGGTTTTGGTTTGGGCTTGTCTTCTCCAGAGTCCGCTGCTGCAAACGTGCCCTTCTTGGGTGCTGCCTTGGGATCATGATAGAATTTGCATTCTTTTCCCTTCGGACAATTCCCTCGAATCCAATGCCAACATGGAACTTTCCCTTCACCTTTAAGGGATGCACCTCTCGATGGAGTCCTCAGTTTCTTGTGCCTGAATGGACACCCTTTTCCGTTGTTGCATTTCCCTTTTGCAAAGAATTTGCATGGGATCTTCTTCTTGTCCACACTTGTACTTCTGCCCCTGTCTTTACTTACCATCTCCTTTTCCTTTACCCCTTTTTGTCTTCTGGATGCCTTTTCGGATTGGGAGTTGGCTTGACAGGTGTCGCTTCTTCGGTCTCTCCCACTGCTCCCGATGGTTTGGGTTTTGGCTTCTTCGGATCATTGGGTGCAGGTGTGGCCTTAGCCTTATAGGTGCTGGACCACCGGGTTTGAGACTCTGAAATATATTGGCCACATTCTTGACAGCTTTCTCCTTCTCAAGAAGCATCTTGTCCTCAGTTTGTCTTGCGATGTGCCTTCGAATCATGTCACGGATCGTCTGGTATGATTTCTTGGGATCTCCTTTCGTTGAGGCTGTTGTACGTATGAATATCGTAGGACGTCATGTTTGGGTTCTTCAGCCTCCTGTACAGGAGATCACGAAGTGTATCGTCACTGGGGATGTCGGCCCGGCTGGCTTCATTCCGGCTAAGATGTCATCCCAAGTATGCAAGAAGAGTGACAGATTTCTATCTCCCTGATATTCAAACTGATATAAGTGCATTGATGTGTACAGCACTTCAACATTGGAGGTTGTCTTGAAGTTGAGGAGTATCAATGCGAGGATTTCTCTTCCTTTGATGAGGGTAGAGGCCCTTCCTTTCGCGTCTGATTCTTGTCCTCAATTTCATGGCGACATTGTTTCCCTCCCCCCCGGAGTCTGCGACAACTTTGGTCAATGCGAGTCCCAGTTTTGCATCGATTGAGTGGAATCTTGGGCCACCAGAGTCCATCAGCTTGTCAGGATCAGGATCATCAATAGCTTCTTTGACCCAATCAATCCATGGTTGTTGATCCGAGTCATTTGCTGCGATGACTATTGCTTGTATCAAGTTGGCTTTCCACAGTCCCAGGTCATTGACCTTTGGCCATGGTGGCACGTTCACCTTGGATTCTTCCTTTCTGGATACTTTGGTTGCATACGTTGGAGAGGAGGACGATGCTGATGCAGTTTCTGGTAATCTGTTCTTGAGTTCTGCATTCTCTTCTTCAACTGCTTCCTTTTCTTCGATCCCCTCTTCATAGTGTTTGAATGCATCCAAGTACCATTCATAGGTTTCACGCGCCCGTCTCAACCTGTCCACTTCATTCTCTTCATGTCTCAGGTCCTCCTTAAGTCGCGACTGATCCTCTTCATTGAGCCGAGTGGTATGTAACCCTCGTCCCTCTCGTTTCTCATCTTTGGCAAATCCATGGTGCTTCTCTGCCTTCAACTTGGCATTCTCTGACCTTGCTTCCAATAGTTTCTTCTCGGCGATCTTGTGATTCTCCTCAATTTCTTGGAATTTCTCCACGAGAACTATCCTCTCTCTACCATCAATTGCGGACGTTCCGAGTAGATTCTCCCTTTTCAGCACCTTATTGGCTTCAGTGAGGGCAGAGTTGGCTTCTCTCAGTTGACGTTGCTCCTCCTTGGATTGTATCTTTATCTTGCTTGCAGCGTCTTCCATTGTCTTCGTTGCCTCAGCCATCACCCTTGCTTCGTACTGAAATTGTTGTGCTCGCATTTCCCTTTCACTGACTTCCAATTTGTATGCCTGAATCTCTGCCCATCTCTGCAACCATACTCATCTCGGATCCTTTGACGAGTGCCAGTTGACCGCGAAGGTTTTCTATCATTCTTTTCTCTTGATATTGATGGTCAGTACTCTCAGCTGCTTCGTTGGTCAGTATGATGTGGCTCACTTCAGTGCTCCATTGCTTTTCCCTTTCTCTCTGAGCTACCTCCAACATGTTGCTATTCTCATCCTGTAGCATCAACATCTTCGTCTGTAGCTCATCAGCGACATTCATCATCACTCTGTTCTCTTCAGTGTGATGTTGAGCTGTTCTGTTGTATAGCCTGAGATTTGGTTTTGTTCTTGGATGTACTGGAATGCACCCTGCATTTCACTGGTCATGTCCTCCATCTTGGACGTCACCTCGTCGAATTGAGAGTGTTCTTCATGATTCTCATGAGCGACCTGTTCGTACTTTGTGTAGATGTGTTTTGCCAATGATTCGGCAAGTCTGAGCTTCCTCTCAAGTTCTTCGATCCTTATAGTAGCTCCTTCATCCTCTTGCATCATCTCTTGTAGGTGAGTGTTCATTGCCATATTGCACTTTGTCATCTGCGAAAATTCTTGTCTTGATTCAGCGTAGAGCGTGGTATGCCCATCATGTAAACAGCTGTATTCGTCACTCAGATGTTGATAGGAAACTCTCGTTGATCGCAATTCTTCAGTCAGTCCAACTTCTCTCTCCTCATACTCCTTGGCATCTTCAATTTCTACTTTCTCGATATCTCTCTTGGGTGATCTTCTCGATGTTGTTCTCGGCGATGTAGATCTTGTGAACCTCTTCACAATCCTCTTTGCGTTGCCCATTCTAGCATCAGATCCAGCCGAAGTCGTCTCCAGTGGGGCGACCCTTCTGTTGCCTGAAGCTTGTGATGTGGATGGCAGCCAGCATCATTGATTGAGCCAGGCGATGACTGCGATGCGTTTCCTCCTGGAGCTGCGACAGAGAATTGTCCACTACTCTTTCCTCCAGAGCTCGACATTGCGAGTTGAGTCTTTATTGCAGTGTTGGTCTCTTAGAACTCGCAAGCTTGGAGCGGCTACGGGTGATAACCTGCGTGTGGATATTAATCTGCTCAACGGGAAGTATGAGTAGACTATCCTCTCCCTCGTAGATAGCGATGGCGCGCACTTGCTTTCCGCTTTGCTCTACGGGTGTCTTGATCATATATTGGCGTGACACGCTGAAGTATGCTGTACACTGTACATGTTCATACTGTGCTGTCGTCCCACTGCTATTGACATTTCCCATACCGCTTCATGTAAAAAGGCGTTGCTGTGTCTGTACTCCTGCTAACCTCCGATCCTCGCTCCCAACGCTTCGCGCGCTTCTCCGGTGCACCTGTGAGAGAACCTTGCAGCCCGCCTGGGGCGGTGGGCACCGGGTGTTCGGGCCGCAACGCTTTTCGGGACGTCAACAGCTACTAGGAGCGATCGGACGCTACTAGGGGCTCCCGGCCTTAGTAGCAAGAAGCTACTAGAAACAAGCAGAAGCACGGCAGTTAGAGTTTCCGTGCCCAGCTGTTGAAGACATTCGATGGAATTCTGCCGCCAGAGTCACACATAGAACAGCAAAAGGTGGTCCTTCTCCCATGGAGCAGACGGAACAGGGTTTTCAGCCACAAGCAATGGCTCCAGGGGCAAGCTAGTCAGCGAGCGGCTTTCACAGTGTGGGACCCACAGTGGGAGGGACCCAGTCGTTGAATTCCAAGGGCTTTCAATGCTCCAGCAGAGGTTGACGAAGCCGCACGTTCGACTATCCTATAGGTACCGCTGGGCCATCGGTCCTATAAGGTCATTTAACCTCTGTTGGTTATCTTGGCTGTCCATCGCTTCTTTGCGAAGTCTTTAACCTTGAGTAGTTAAGTAAGACATCCCTTCCAAACCAAAAGCACTAAGGGTCTGAGAATACGCCGAAACTCGGACAGTCAAGTTCTATCGCCGGAAACGTGAACCCAACACAGTCCCTGACCCAAGTGAGGTGGGGACCACGCTCACAGCGGCGATGCAGCTTGAGGGTCTCCGATTTGGAGTCTGAGACCTAGCAACCACATCCGGCAACTCCCGCCAAAGACTCCGATGAGACAATCAAGGCGGTGCCTTCCAAAACAACCATCCACAAAGGTCCCCCAAAACCACTTCACCTCTTTCGCTTCCCTATGAATCCACTGCCACCTTCTCAGAAGGTCATTGCGTCCCCCTGGCGCCTGGGCCTAAACATAGCCTAGTCTCCTTCCTCACTGTACCGGTTCGGTATGTGGATCCGGGCTTGACCCGATCACCTCCCCACCTCCGTGGCCCAACCGTCGTCGTCGACGGAGCGCGGATGGCCTCGAACTGCCGCCAGGCGGAGACGGGCCAATAGCGGCAGTCGCCGCCTCAGGGGGCGACAGCGACGCGACAGCGACAGCGCCGGGCGGGCGGCGTTGACAGGGGTTGATTGAACAAAGAAGACTGCTTGGCTAACTTGCTTGATTGCAAGGACCTCTTTAATAAAAGAAAAGGATGCTCATAAACGGATTATAGGGCTTTGGGGAGCCAATCCATACATATGCTCATCACACCATGTGACATGAGCGTGTCTGGTGAACCTCCGGGTCTTCTTTGTGCCCCTTGGTCCATAGCTCGGGCATCCTGCCAGGAAGCCTGTCGGATACAGGAACATTCCTGTTTGGAAACCATCCAAACAGATTTCCCATCGGTCCATGCTCTGGACCAAACCATCACCTGTCCTCTCCTTCACAAGCAGCTTGCCGCATGGGAAAACACCGTCTTTTCCGAGTCTCTCCCTCTCTCTCTCTCATGCACCAAAGAAGACGACGACCACGGCCACCGCCCTGTCCGCAGCCGCCAACGAAGCTCTTGAGGCACCGCGCCCACGTCCAGGTACTCCCACTCGCTCTTGCCCAAGGGGTTCGCCGCGGAGACGTCCATCCACGTGGACCTCGGAGAAGGTCGGACGAGGTGGCGCCGGAATGCGCCGGACCCAGTTTGGCTTCAGATGGCATGGGGGGCTGCAGGGATTTTTCTTGCCAAAAGACTGCGCTGGTGTCTTCTTAGCTAGGGTATAGACTACAAGTATCATAGAAGTATCAGCACCCGTATCATATCAGCACCCTCCAGCGCACGGCGGAGGGACGCACTCCCTCCTTATTCCTCCTGTTCGGGTGGACCACCGTACGGAACGTTGCTCCTGGGTGGATCCGTCCCACGGAGGGAGGACACAAGGCAGCGCCGAGTACCTTTCAGAATGTACATGAGTATACCATACACATCCCTTCGACCTCCCTTCTCGAAACATTTCGGTGACCATCCTCGTGAAGAGCCAGACGCTCCATCCCCTCTGCCGGCCCGAACCCAAACCACCGTGGACCGTCCGGCGCTGCTGCTGCTCCGAGCGGCGCATCCACCGCCAGGCCGAAGTCCACCAGGCCGAAGCTCACGGGCGGCCGATCGCCCTTGGGGAACCCCGATGAAGGACCGGTGAAGCCGCGCCAAGAGGGGAGAAAGCTTTTCGAGACCCCAAAGAATAACAATCTAATTACAGTCAGGGGGAACTTCAAATTGGACTCAAGTAGTGATGAATTCTGGAGCCAAAGCCATGCCCAGCATGACGACAAGCCTCGAGGTGCGCCAGGATGTTGTGCGCATTCACCTGAGCGAATGATGTGCAGCCCCTTTTGGGGTGGTCAACTCCTTTTCCCACACACCGCACATACAAATTGTGCCGGATAGATTCACGCTCCACCGAAAGTGATCTCTTCCATGTCTGCTTTGGGATGGCTTCTTAGGCTTCGAGACGAAGAAACAGGTTTCTGAGCGCCAAAGATTGGCCCAAAGCGATTTTGCGTCAAAAAACGTTTTTCTCCAACCAGCAGCAGCAGCAGCAGCAGTAGCTTGCTAGGCCTCCAACACGATCAATTCGTTCCAATTGGATGACAAATGTATACACACGTTGCAGTTTTCTATATCTAGTTTTCTAGGAGATATCTACACATGTCCAGCCAGTCCAGCCACCCACAAGTTTTGATGGTCTTACCATGAGAACACCAATACCTTCTCCTGGCTCCAACCTTCTTAGAAAACACTTCATACCGATCAGTCACATGGCCGCTTGGTGAAGTCTGGAAACCATCTCCTCTGGTCTTTGCCTCACATGGCCGCAACGATCCTTTGAGGATGGAGTCCTTGGAGTCCTTAAAGCCAACCCATACGATCCATAGCTTTGGATCCGTGATGATCTGTATACTCTCTTTTGCACTGTCCCTAGAAGTTGAACCACCCTTGTTTTCATAGCCTCTACTAAATTACCGAACCGCCCTTGTTTTACGGATCTTACGCAAAACCAGATCAATCATTTCCAACATTTTAAATTGTCCAAGGGACTTGCAATGGCCATGAGGTGAATGACAGGTCACTGCCGTTCGCCTGCAGCGGTCCCGACCTGGAGTGGTGCCGCCGAGAGGCGTCCCGGTGGTAGGTGACTTTGCTGATCGCCGCCTCGGGCCGAGAGGCGTCCAGTTCCACCCTCCGACCGGGTGGACCATTCTACGTCTACGTCTTCCTCCGACTTCTACGTCGACGCCCTGTCGCAACAAGAGCTTGAAGCCAAGCCTCGTGGAAAAGTCGGGAAAAGCAGGTGATCTGAGGCCACTGGATGAGACTCCAAAAGTTGGGTCACGGACAGAAGAAGCTGGTTGGAATCCCATTGCTCGTTCCTTTGCTCCTTGATCACCCTCTTCCAATTTTCTTAGGCCCACTTCCGTCCAATCCTCGTCACTGGAAGCGTTTTCGTGATCCCCGGCCATGGTGGGCGCCAGCTGTTCCAGAAGCGCCCGGGCCTCAAGACGGCGGCATCTGCAGCATCTGTGGCTTAGATGTCCGGGCTGAAGAAAACACAGCACCCTGAAACTCGAGGAAAAGAAGCTGAAGAACACACACACCGTATAGCCTTCACAGACCATTTCAACACATTTTTTGATCTGGCTTTGCAGTGTAAACATGTGTAGAACCCTGTAGCTGGAAACAAGGGTGGTGCGGGATGACCCGGCATGGACATCAAGGGTTGAAGCCTCGCCACGAACTCTTCGGTTCCAAGGAGCCTCGCCACGACGAAACCGCCGTGTTGTTTGCGAAGCCCGGAAGGAATGGCTGTTGTTAACTGACCCGACCCGACCTCCGCGGAAACCAAGCAAAACCGAAAGAACAAGCGGATGGACCGTCGAATCAAGCATCTTGGACCTTGACTTCTTGGCCAGAAAGTGGATGCTGTGTGCCCCGGGATAGGCCACTTCCACTGCCACTTACCTATACCAACAAAGGTTGAAGGATCCGAGTTCGTTCGACTATCCCAGTTGGGTACCCCTGGTGAGGGGTCCTGTCTACAGTCACTGGCTACCTCTCTCTTGGTACTTCTTCGCGCTTCCCCCGCAACGCTTCGCGTCCCGGCACAGCCGATGGCTTCGCTGACGCTGAACTGAGCCTGGCCGCCGCGTGGGTGACGGACCGGCGCCCACCCCACCCCACCCGGATGTAAGATGTGATGACATGGCCGTGGGCTAATCATTCCATTGGATCCCCAACCTGATATTCCCCCCTGCAGTTTCCGTGGAAGAAGAACACATGCACCGTGGAAGAAAAACAGCGAAGAGTCAGTGGCATCGGAGGTGAATCCTCCAAGCTTCCGACCTCAAGAAACCATCTGAAGTAGTTCTATAGGTTCATATTGCATATAAGACACCACCTTATCATTATATAGTACAACCTTAAGAAACCACCTTATAGTACAGGTTCTATACATCCTCAGATAGCATTCATCCTAATTCATCGATTGGCGCCCTTTCAACCCGTTCGCACGATGGGGTTGACCCGTTTCGGATCTCACCCATTCTCCATGAAGGCCCAAGAGAGATGGTTTCATGGCACATGATGTGCCGAGCTATCCGAGCTTTTAACATGGCACAATTCGCATGGTTTTGGTGAACTCAATCGAATCCTACCTACCAAATAAATGTTCAAGTTCGGCTCGTGAATCCGTGAGAAAAGCACATCCCCACGAACGTTGAAGAACTTCCCAAAACCAGTGGCGCTTAAACCACCACGGGATGGCCATTTGCTGCGCATCAACTTTGACCGGAACTGTTCTGTTCTTCTGGCCCCCTTTTCAGCACCTCCAAAAGCCTTGCGAACCCCAAACACCAAAGCCATCGAAGCCGCGGAGCGAACCGTTACCGTCCACGCGCCGCTCCGCTCTCTTTTTTGGGGCAGGAAAGGGTCAAGGCGAGAGGCCAAGGCACCGCAGTAGTGCATGAACCTTGGAGGAAAAAACGATGTTGTCCGAAGAACATCAACCATTTTGAGCACCTGAGTCAGCACCCGCAAAAACCCAACTCAACCAGCAACATCAAAGTGGCTGCTGGAACTGGAAACGGCCCTGTTTGTTGATAGAACTTGTCTTGAGAATCGACTTGGTGGATGAAGCAAACCTCTAGGTAACCTCAACAAAAAAGCCGACCATGAGAATGGTCCATGACGGGGTCGTCCAAAGTACAACATTCTGTTCAATGTGAGTTTCAGGGGACTCCTCAAGAGGACTCCCACATGAATATCATGTGGATGTGTAATGATGTGTATTTTTAAATAGGGAGCCATGGGTTTGGGGTCCATTTTCCTTCTTCGATCAGGGGGGGTCTCTTGAATGTCTCCCTCTTCGACACACCCCACGACTTTCGTTGATTCACCGTGCTTTTCGTTGATCAACGCTTTTCAAAACCGAACGACCGGACACTTTACCGGTGTCCAAACATCCCACTCACCCTCTTAGTTTCTTTGGAAGAGAATAGGAACACCTCCTTTTTCCAGCAGGTTCCTTGTTTCGTGGGGTGTCCCCACTCTCTACTGCCTGGGCAAGTGACCTTAAATGAGTCTACCTCTCCAGTCTTCCCACCGCATCGTGCACCCCTGGGCACCACGTGGCTGGAGCATGACCACGGCGCTGGGCGCGCTTGGCGCCAAGGACACGGCCACCTTGGTGACCAGCGAACAGCGCGCACCCCAAACTGGGCTGTCCATGGGACCGGCACGTGTCATCGCTCCATTCCGGGGGTGGAAAGGCGTCCAGATTCTGATAGGCGTTGCCATGGAGTGTCCAGTAGTTCTACTCCAAAGTGGTGTCTATGAGCTGTTGTTCTTTCATGTTCTTTCTTTTGGTAGGGGCACAGGGGCACATGTTACATGCCCCCTTTCCTCATCATTGGCCTTTTGTCTTCATGTGATTCCAATGGTTCGGCCCTTTTGGATGGAGACATCTCAGACACGTGAGATCCACAGAATGCTTGACCCCATCAAGATCCGTCCACCGAAAATACACCTCCCCTGCTCAAAAAGATAGCCTGCAGGTAGAAAGGTGAGTTGTGTATGGTTTTTGTTCGGGCTCACACATGTTGTTGGACTCGAAATCCTCCAGTGACACCTAACGACTCAGCACTGGTCGGCTGAAGCATGGCCATGCAGTTGTGCACGATCACCAGTCGGCTCTCCCCTCCACCAACTGGGATCAACTTAATCAAAATTCCATCTCCAACGATCTTGTTGAACCCCAATTTCTGTCCTATTTCAACTAGCTCAGACATCTGCCATCAATCACCAAAAAGCTTGAGTAGATCTATCTAGATCTATCTAGATCTCCTCACTTCTTCCCCCTGACCATTCTCCACTCATTCTCCCTCCGCCCAGCGGCCACAGCTCCCAGCTCCTCGTCGCAGAGGCGCCGCGTGGCAGCTGCGAGCCCGTCGCCCGGCGCCTCGGAAGAGGGCGACCGAGCAAACCCGCCGAAACACGCGTTGGTCAAAGAAACACCGCGTTCTTTTTGTTTTTTTTGAACATTTTTGAACCATTTGATTGAATCTTCGCTCATTTCTTTTGAACACATCTTAAGAAATGCCACCCAAGAAACTTTTGGAGGGAAGGAAGTGCCTATTATATAGACTCTTTTGGGAGTCCGCCGCACCCCGTCGCATGCCGGAGGCACGATGAGCAGCAGCCGTTCGACGCGGCGGCGCGAGGCTCGCGGCGCGACGACCGAGGTCGTCGCGGCGAAGAGGTCGACGCCCTGGTGGGCCACGGTGGCCGAAAGGGCTGTTGTTTTCGGATTGGTTGGGTGGTTGGGAGGTGGAGAGAGAGAGAGAGAGAGTTGGCTCTTGCTTTCTCTTCGTTCTTTTTACAGTAATATTTTTTGGAGGACATGAAGATAGCTGTCCTCATCAAATCATCTGATATGACAGTATGATATGAGAGTTTCCATGGACATGACTGACTGCGAGATGATTGGAGATCTCCACCAAGCAGATCCAAAAAGAGATTTTGGCCCAACGAACAAGGCCACCCCCCAAAAACGATACAAAAAGGCGCTGTTCTTACGCTCCGCCGCGTGCTCGCCGCGCGCTGCAACGCGGTACGCGCGTCCGACGCACCTCGTCGGAGAGGAACAAGGCCGTCGTCGACTCGAAGCGCTTCAAGCTACTCCTGGCGGAGCACCGTGCGCGGTCCACAGCACCGACCTCGTCGCGTTGATCCTCCGACTGAAAAGGATGGAGAAAAACTTGGCAGTCCAGTCGACCTCTTTCCAGTGGATGACTCTATTCGAACCCTCTACGAATAGATCATTGGATGACCCTTGGCCTTTTTCTTTCTGACACTGGAGATCCTTCGAATTGGTCGCTGCTGATGACGGGGTCGAATTGGGTCCCTTGCGGCCAGGATTCAGATCGATTGGCGTCGACCTGACATCTGGTTCATTGAAGCGGCCACATGGAGGTGTTTGAAACGGCGCCCTTCTTTGCGCGGCTCTTCGCTGAAGGTGCTCCCACATGGCTACAGGTCACATTTGGGTGAGGCCTTTTTTGATCCTCTCGACTGGTGCCTGCTGTTCATCCATCCGTTCGCCCCCCTACCCTCCTGCCCCTCCAGCCGCCCCCAGGCCGCGCCGTGGGTGCCCTCCTCAGGCCCTGCCGCCACTGCTCGCCCTCGCCGCCGGCGGCGGCGGAAGGGCGCTGCTTCGCCTTCGTCTCGAGGCGCTCGCGCAGGGCGTCCAAGAGTTGACGCTCCTCGGCGGTGACGGCGCGGTGCCGGTGTCAAGAGTGCAGGTGTCCGGTGTCCTCCAAAAAGAAGGACTTATTTTTGTCCGGAGGCTTTTCAAGTTGAGTTTTGGCTGAAGCTTTTCTCCCAACAGACGATGAGATGGGCCATGGTGGCTACTGCATGGCTATGCCACCTTGGTAGGATCCAGAGCTAACTATCAGCGGGTTCGGGCCACCTGAGTACCTCTGGCACCTCCAAAGTGTGTTTTTGGAACTGATCGACAACGATCAACACCTTTCCACCAAGGACTATCCATCACTACCCAGTTCCGTCACCATGTGGACGTGACGAAACAAACCCATGTCGACAACAAGTCTGCTTCAGTTTCTGAGCCCATTACCCCAAGAACATCCGAGAAGCTTCTTTGTAGGTTTTTGTTGAACCACATCTGTGCCACCAGTCCGTATGAATCTCCTATTGGGGACAATCGCAGTTGACCAATGAAAGCTACCAGCTGCTTCCCCATCGGGGTGTCCAATGGACTATCCTACATTGTATATAGGCCCTGAAAGTCAAAGACTATTTTTAAACTTGTCTTTGGATGATCCGAAAAAGGAATTTCCTTTACTTGGGTGGTGCCGAAAATAGTCTTTGGGGGACTTCTAGGGTAGGTCTCCATTTGGACACTTTGACAACGTCCAGATCTCCTCAAGACATTCCCCATGCCCTGACATGAACTCGTTCCCCACTGATGAACGTCGACTGCTTGAGCACGAAGAGCCGTGGGTGCCGCACGGTGGGAGCTGGACATGCCTCGAGAACCGAATCAAATCACGAACGACTTCTGCCCGCACAAACGTCTCTTGGAAGACCTTTGGAACGAAAGGATAAGAGGCGCCTTTACGGCCGCAACGTGCTGGGAGAGATGCGGACTCAGAAAACTCCTTATTTCCAGTGCGAAGAACGAAGAACACCCGTCTATACCAGCTTTGAGTGATTCCCCCGGTCCCCTGCTTTCGCGCCTTCCACGAACTTGCTGCCCACGGCGAGCGTGACACCTCAACCGCACCCCCATCGGTGGCGAACACGGTCTTCGAAGGGGATCGGCGGGGGAAACGTGTTGCTTTCGAGATCAGGCGAACACGACCGCCAACGGAGGCTAGGCTAGGGCTAGGACTCTTCTGCCGTCCCAAAAAACCACAACAAAATGAACGTCTCCTTCGCTCATGATGGCGGATCCCCAACAGACCGATACTTGGCACTTCGTTGATGTGACGGCCCCCCACGGCGCAGCGGCTGACGCCAGGCCACCGTCGCGGAAGAGGATCCGCAAGTGCGGCACCGTGCGGCGGCACGTCTCCGCAGCATCGCCTGCGCGTGCGGTGAGGAGCGACGAGCGTGGAAGACGCGCAAGCACGTGAGGGTTCGGTGATGCTTCCCGACGGGTTTTACGGCAACCCCGTGATGTTTTCGGAAGTTGCTGATTCCTTGCTCTTCAGGTCTGCTCTGGTCTTCGATGAAGAGTCTAATATAAAGTCCACTCTTAATCGGGGGAAGCATAGTTCTTAGAACATCGGTGCATGGCGCTCTCCACTCAGATGGAAACCCACGACTGGAAGTCTATGGACATCGACCTCTGCCCCAATCGTCCAACCATTTGGGAGGACCCCTGCGGGGTGAAGAAGGTATGGGAAGAGCCGCGCGGATGGCTTCGAAAGGAATCCCACGACCCAAACGATATACACTAGACGTACTACCAAGGAATTGAACAACAAGACTGCCGCATTTACATCCTTGCAGTCTTTTCGAAGGCTGTGATTGAATTCCAGTTGTCGGAACTTGGCACCAGCTCAGACTCGGTCTTTGAGTTCCTTGCATCCTTTGAGCACCACGAAACAAATCGATGATCGTTCTGGAGCCATCTTTCCAAACAATCCACCTTCTTCCCGGTACAGTATCCAATGCTTTTCATGGCATGGCGCCCCGGGTAAGCGGCGGATGGCGTCCACCACATGCTATAAAGGCCACCCTGAAAAGCATGCACACTCAAGGACATGTCCTCATCGTCCAAAAAGGTGTGGGACACGTGAAAGTGGCCCTACTCACAGAAGGCCACAGCTTTCCGTGCTTTCGTTGTGTCAGAGCTGTGCTCAGCTGTGCGCCTTGAGCGTCACTGCACTCCGGGCGCTCACGGTGCTTCACGACCCCCGCGAGTTGCACGCATCGCGCGGGCCTTCGCTGGACAAGGCGCTGGAGATCTTGGAGCGCCACAAGGTGCACACGCAAAGCCTCAGTGGAACCAGTTCACCTCCATGTTGAGCCAAAGTAAGATGGTGAACTGTCGAGTCAGTTACCCTGAGTCATTCGAATGGCATCCCTTGAATCCTCTGCACTCCCAGTGCTGGGCCAAACCCTCACGACACCTTCCTCCTCACATCCGAGTGGTCGTCCCCCTTTCAGCAAGTCCATGGGAATTTTACGGACCTTCCACCTTCCGCTCTAAGTCATGGACCCTGCTGAAAGGTGGATCATGGACCTTCCACCTCCACCAACCCCCTGCCGCCACGGCACTGCAACAGCGTCAGCAGCCGCCCGCGCGGCGTGCCGTCCTCGCACAGCGCGGAGCTGGGGAGCTCGCAGCAGTGGAGCACCGTGAAGTCCAAGGGCGGCGCCTGGGCGGCCGCCGTGGTCGTGCATCGCGTGGAGGGGATGGATGGGTCCACTGCTGGTGTATCCCTTTTCCGGCGCATCAAATGGGGGAAGGGAGTTGATGGATTTGGATCGGTCGACCGTGATCATGTTGTGAGCCGGGCGAAGCTTCTCAGTCAGTTGCTCCGCCACTGGTATGGAGCCGATCATTTGGGTGGATTTCTTGCGTGGAAGTAAGTCCTCATCGTCTGCGACCCTTCACACCCACAAGAAGAGGAAAGCGACTAGACTAGTAGAGCCATTTTCCTGCCTGGTGCGTCACATTGACAAGGGAATTGAGCAGGTATAAATCCATTTTGGATCCATATTCATCTCCTTCCGAAATGGATTCCAATTCCCTCCTCATCACCCAATTCCAGATACATATGTTTCCTAATCATCCGCGGATCCATTCCCCTCATGTCCCCCTTCGCCCCTCGCACGGTCCCTGGCACCACCAGACGCCGCCACGCCTCGGGCAGTTCACGCAGCCCCTGGCCATGGGGGGGACGAAAACCGGTTGGGCTGGAGGTCACCACGCCCTTTTCCTCTGTATTTTGGTGGTAACAAGAGTGGGGGATGGGGTACCTGGTAGTCTATATATGTCTACCATCTGCTTAGTCAAGCATGGGAGCCACAAGACCCTTGCAAAGTGCACGTTCACCATACCACCCACCCCCCTTCCCTTCGGGGTGGCAGACCCAGCCGCTCCTCCGGGACCGATGACAGCCAGCTGGTCAGAGCAGCTAGCTGCTAAGGGTTCCAAGGCATATCAGAGCGGTTCGTTTTTGGGCTCAGAGACTTGTCCAGCCCGGTCCTAGCTTGCGAAGTTGTTTTGCCCAAAGCTAGTGTGTTTCACGCAACAAATGCCTATACTAGTAGCAAGGATGCTATGAGGTCGAGGCCATCGCAAGTAGGGTGGAGGCCATCGGTACTGGTAACAAGAAGCTACTCCCTAGGGCTCCAACCATATCCTCAGAAGGTGGTTAGACCCCCCCAAACCCACCCCAACCATCTTCTCAGGAGGTGGTTGGAGGCCATTGCTACTAGTAATAAGAAGCTACTAGGAGCAAAGGGCATCGCTACTAGGAGCAAGAAGCTACTAGCTACTTCTAGCTAGTAATGAAAAGACCGAAAAGGACTCTTCCGGGTCTGGTTGAGTACGTACGTCGAAACTCGGGACAGTCACCACAATGTGCCATCAGGGTGCTGCCCTGGACGGGTTTCCTTGTGAAGCGGAGGACACACCCAAACAGACCAATTGACAATTCCTTTTTTTTTGTTTCTAGTAGCGATGGCCTCCAACCTAATGGCGATGGCCTCCATATCTATCACACAGTTTTTTGATTCTCTTTTGAAAAGCACTTTTGGTGTGATGAGATCCAATGAGATCCACACCTCCCAGCCAATCTTTTGCTCCAGCCGCAGCCATTTTTCCCCATGCCGCACCTGTGTTGCCACGGCCTTTGCCACGGCGGGCAACACCTGCTTGTCGTGAAACATGGATGGGGAGAAGAATGGTCTCTTCAACATGGAAGCCGCCAATGCCATGATCTTCCACCTGGGAATGCGAAGACGCCTCAGTTTCTATGTTATATGTTACTGCAGTGTCTATATTTGGCACGGTACTTAGCTAGTCAACACATTGAGCATGGCCCCCTTCCGAAAGGTTGGAATGTCCATTTTGTGCAACTGCCAAATGGCTGAAGAAAAACGAAGAACATGCAACCATGCTGCCTCCCTCTCCCTCCCCTTCCGTGTTCAATGGCATCCAATATGCAACTCGTTTCTTTGCAGGGAGCGTTTGAGTGCATGAGGGTCTTCAGCATCATGATAGAACAAACCTTTGTGGATTGCGGACAAGCTAGTTTTTCCAACAAGAATCTAAGTTTACTTCCCAGCCGACAGGTGAGGGCGGTCAAACAAGGCAAAGCAAATAAGCAAAGGAAGGCAGTTTGGGCCCCCAACCCTGCTAATTGCACACCTCACCAACCAAGCACCTAGCAAATAGCAGTTGATTCTAATCGTTGACTTGCCCACCTGACCAAGCACGACACAGAAGTTCGCTTGCCCGAGGAGAATCTGTCCAGCGATCACACCACAACTCAATGCTTTGGAGGTGAATGGTCGAGAAACCACGCGGCAAACAGCACGCGGGGGCTCCACTTGGTGACCTGTGAAACTTCATGCCCATGCGCTGCTGCGCAATCCTGCCAGAATCCAGCTTGAGCCTTCCTTTCCGCCATTTCCAAGTTTTCCGACTGGTGATGTAGTGCTAAGCGAGGATGTTCCACATGAACTGCTCAAAAGTGTTGTCGTTTTGTGGGTGGACTCCGCTCCCGCTCGTCACAAGTCTGGTGTTCACCCGGGTTGACTGCGCACCGTCCGAATGGACTTCAATGCGTGGCATTCTTCACTTGTGGCACATTCCTCTTCTCAGAGAGCGGTTGAAGCACTGATACGCTGTGAAACCGCCGCGCCGACGAGACTTCGGTTTCGGTTCCTTTCCCTTTGGCCGGCTCCCGCGACCAATGCGTTGGCTGGAGCAGTCCTTCGTACTTGTTCACTGCTTGGACATTGGCAGTCACAAGGGGTGCGATTGGCCGAAATGGGCTGATCTGATAGAGGCGGAAAGCGGATTCTCCGATGATCGGGTGATGGAGAACGGGCGCAACGGGGAACATACAATATGTAATCAGACTGTTCTACGAAGTCAAGACCCTTCAGGCATTTCCTGGTCGTTCTGGAGCAACAGTTACTATAGTTCAATGAATTCAACACATTCATTCTTCCTCCCCTCTCTTCAGTTCGTACCAGTAGGTTGGAGGCCATTGCCAGTAGGTTTCTTCCTCCCCTCTCTACAGTTCTTGCTTCATTTGCCCCGCCCTGTCCTTCCGTCCTGTCCTCACCGCCCATCTCCACCGCGTTCTCCACCGAGACGCCAACCCATGCAGATCGGCCGCGGCCAAGCATCGCACCACCTGCGTGGTGAGGTGGCTGAGGCGCAACGGGTGAGCGTGGTGAGCGTGTTGAGGAGTCAAACAATAGGAAGTCATGGAGTCCAAATGGTGGATTTTCTCACCCCCCCAAAAAATGGAACTTCGGAACCACCCCAAAGCCCAAAAGCCTTCAACCATTCTGCTGAATTCAGGCTTTTCCTCTAGATAGTCTATCCCCTCCCCACCTTGGAGCTGAACTCGGGGGTGGCGCCCAAGCGCACGCGCACCTGGAGACCGAGACCGGAGACGTGGGGCACACGGCCGAAGCGAGATGGGTCGGTCCCGTTCGGGTTGGGTCTTCTGAAACCGGGTGAAGATGGGCTCGATGGGTTTCTGAACTGTTGCCCATAAGGTATGGTTCACCTTATTGGTGGCTCACGGGTTTCTGAACCTGGCTTTGGTTCTGCGTTGGGCTGCTCACGGGTCCCATGTTGAAAGAGACCGGTTGGGTTTCGGTTGGGTTTGGTTTGACTGCTCGTTGTCTGGTGTATTCGAGGCTTCGTGGTCGACGATTTAAGGTCAACCCCAAGTATCAGGAGGGAGGCTTGGTTGGTTTTATGTTTATCGACACAATTGTACATATACCTATTCAACACTGTACATATCCACAGGGTCCTCAAAACTGTACATATACTTACTCCAGTCCTGCAATCTCAACACTGGTAGGAAGAGAAAACGACACCATCCCAAATCCTCGTGCTCATTCCAAGATGCCTGAAACGAGGACCCGGACACAAACGGTCCAGTGCCAGTCTAGCCTGGTATACATAGGACCGCAGTGGAACCAGCTCCTGAGCCCCACCACATCTTCCCCGTCCCCCCCAACCAGCTTCAGATTCAGCTCCGCAGCGGCTGCTTCCACCTCGGAGCATGGTCCAAGGCGCAGAGCCTTTGGGGTTTCAATCGGGGGCCATGAGGATGGTCCAATATCCACTGCTTCGTTGAGTGACTTGATTTGGATCAATTTCGGCTACACCTCCACCTCTTTTTGGGGGGTTGTGGTATGTTTTTGTATGTTTCATGTCATCCATTTTGGGAAGGGATCCGGCAACGACTTGGTCGTTTCCTTTCCTCCAAGCCATGACGAAACTCGAAGCGGTTTGTTTTGATTCCAGTTCAACACCACTGATTAGGGGTCGAATTGGGGGTTTAATACTCCTGGAATTCATTGGTTTGTTTGACGTGCACTTCGGAGTGCCGACCTCAGCTGCACACCCCCGCCGATCTTTCCAAACCCAAAACACATGAGCTTTGCATTTGAGCTCCTTCGGGGCCTACAGAGGAACCCACGTCCCAAGTTCGACAGTCTTCCAAAGTGGCTTCCAATGGTGCCAGGAGCGTAGATGGACGAACTATCCAAACTCAAACCCATTCACAAACCCATTGACCACATACACTTCACCCCTCAACCCCCCAAATAAGCTCCACAATATGGGAAGTCCTATAGTTCCAGGTCCGCCCTTGTCGCCAACGGTCGCGGCCACCGACCGCACCGCGACCCGTGCGCCCGGACGGCATGGAGCTCGCTGGAGAGCATGTCGCGCACGGCGCCCAGGACGAAGAGCACCGCGGTGGGCAGAGAGGCGGAGGGCCTCGGAACTTGACTGAGCGGGAAGGACTGAGGCTCAGGTGCAGGTGGGATGGGGATTTTCTCATGTTTTTTGGGGATTTCTCATCAAATTTACATGTTTAGACCTCATTCACTTACTTTTTCAAATAGAGGTCCCTGGTCTCTGGTTCAAGTTCTTGGACCTCAGAAAGGACACTTGGAGGATGGAACACATGTCAGGCAGGGGTGCCAAACCCTCCTCCAAGCGTAGAGACTCTTTGGTCTCAGTGCCCCTCGTTTTCAAGAGAGTCTGGTCAATCAGGGTGTGGGTGAATTTCCTTCCTGGGCATCTGCACTTCATGGGCTTTCATGTGGAACTTCTGACACCCCCAGCCGGGCATTTCGAACACATTCAGCGAACTGTCCACCGGCTGGCCATTCGTTGAGGGGTGGGAACACCACTGTCTCGCCCCAAGAAGAGCTTTAGTGATCCACTTGATCCACTGAAGGTCCTGGGTCGGACTTTCAGCTCCAAGCATCGGTTTTCTGAAGCGCACAGGTCTTCTGCTGGTCGGGCAGGCTGTGTGGTGGGTGACCCAGCGTTGAGCTTCCAAACGGTGAACTTGAGATCTTCCCCGAGTCTCGCCGTATAACACTAGTCACTAGTCTAATCGTTTGGGGGACTTTCAACGAAAACCGCGCCAAGAATATCTGGAACAACCAGCAATCCGCAAACAATGGTCATCACTCCACCCCCCCGTTTCCTAGCTTTCCCTTGTGATGTCTCAGGTTTCTACCTATGTTTCCTAGCCTCCAGTGACTGAAGTTGGCCATTTCTTCCTTCGCCCTTCGTCATCGACCGGACGACGACCGGACGACGGATCCTTCAGACGACCGAACCTCGTCGCGAACGAACGACCGAACTCGGCGCCTCTCGAGGTCGAAGAGGTCCAGATCTGCTTGGCACTCCTCCAAGAAGCCATCAGTAACAAGTGCATCGCTACTAGTAACAGGTGCCTTACTAGTAGTAACAAGAAGCTATTGGTAACAAATTTCAAGTCTAGTAACTCTGGTCCTTGAGAAGCATTAGTAACGAGAAGCCAGACCCGACCGCATCGGTGCAAACCCCCGACCCGCGGTGGTGCCGAGCAATCCCTTGAGGCACCGCATCGCCGGTCCCTGGCGAAAACGCTGGTCCAAAGTCCAAAGGCTCTCTGGCGAAAACGTGTGCCAACTGATGTGAGTCAGGGTGTTTTGTCACATCAATATCACCACAGGCACGCTTCAGCACAGCCTTCGGCGATGAGTCAGAACCTTCCTGCTTGACTTCTTTTCAGCGACACCCAAAACAGAACAAAGGACCACGTCAACACGTCAATACGTCAAGCCATTGTGGATTCTTGAAGGAGAACACAAGTCTTGAACCGGCCGCGTTGAGCAACCTCCCCTGTCCCTTTTTGGCACCATCGGAGTGAGATGGGGATTTCGGCTGTGGGCTCGTCCTCGTGCAGGATGGCCACGGTCGCGTCCTGTGAGGCGCTCGGATCCGCACCGTCGTTCCACTCCGAAGCATGAAAGGAATTCTCTACGAAGATGAAGTCTCCATCCAATTCTTTGGAATTCTCCATGCTTCAGAGTGTTGATGGAATTCTCCAGGAACTCTGGAAAATCTCCATCAACACTCAACAAGTAAAGTGTACTGGCGGAAGACATAGGGCTGCGAATCAGGTTTTCGGAAGGAACCGTGAACGGATGCGAATCCACTGCCCACGGAACCGACTCTTCACCCACCAAGTGGCTGTTTCTGGTGCTTTCTCTTAAGAAAAACCTGGGCTCTAAGAAGTGAAATGGAATTTTCCAGAGGTCTCAGAGGGTCCAAGACCTTCGGCATGCACCTGGCATGGCTCGGCTTGGGTATGGACCAAGAGAAGACATTCGGCTAAGAGGTGTCTTCTTCCTCACAAAGGAGTGGTACTGCAGGGATGTCACAGAAAAACCACATTTTGGTACATTACACACATGTACCAACAACGTAGGTGTCATAGTCCGAAAAACCTGTATAGTTTCTATGATGTGTTGACTGTAGTGCGCACCTTCGGTGACCACCCCCCCCAAAGTCCAACAAAGATCACCAAAAGACGAAATCCTGACTTCCGCAGCACGAAACGCAAAATTCTCCAAACAAAACACCACCAACTGCATACTCAACTGCATACTTCCCCCCAGCGGAACAAACACACCTCACCAACGTCTCCTTTTCTCCCCCTCCGCGGCGGCAGCTGCTCCTTCGGCAGCCTCGCCAGCTGCGCCTTCACCGTGGCCAGCAACGCGTCCGCCGGGCGCGTTTTGCGGCGCTTGGGGCGTGGAGGTCGACCGTCCGCCTCGCGAGGAGGAACAGAGGTGAGGTCGGAAAGGGTTATGGTATGAAATGCAGGGAGGAACAAACTGAGAAGAAATCATCAAATATGCCGAGTGAACCGTGACGAAGCCTTCCAAAACTACTATAATCAGTGAAATTTGAACCAAACCGCTGGAGGAAGCGGGAGTGGATACGATCCACTCCACCGATCCACCCACGCGATCGACCGCGCCTGGGCGATCTGCGCTGCCTCCCAGGCGGCCAAGACTTGAGCCTTGCTGAGGGACTTCAACAAACGCTCGAGGCCTCAGAGGAACGACACCGAAAGGACCTGGGGAAACGGTACCTCATCTCATCCACGTCAACAAAACGGGGATGTGCTGTGCAAAGATGAAGAAGAAGAAACTGTCAGTGGTAGGCCGTTGTTTCCCTTCTCTGCTGGATTATTTTGTGGAACAATTTTTTTGAAGGGGGTTTTGTGGTGCGACTCGTACTACGAATGAGGCCAAGAACCCCCGCAACAAAGATTCCTTTGAATCCAGTCGATTCTCAGTCCATCATTCCTGATTAATTATAAGCATCAATCAGAACTGGCCTGGCGAGACTCTGACAGAGTCCGCTCCCAGCCCTTTGGCCACCAAGACACTCTTGTTGAGCCCATGGGACCGCAGGAAGTCCTCGTCGGCCACGCGACCGGCTTCGATCCAATCGCCGATCGCCGCTAATCCCGGTCCACCAGGTTTTCGACATCCCATGACTCATGAGAAACCCGCTCTATACACACCAAACAGCTCAGCTTTGGGCATTTTTCGTTTTGACCCAAGCCAAGACCTTCCACTCCTGACCTCTTCAGTGGATTGGTCAGTCTAGTCTAGTGACCCTTTTCCAGCGCTGTTGGTCCTGTGGATCGCCGGTCCGACCGGGTCCGACCGGAGTTTCTTCCCCGATCGGCCGTCGATCACCCAAGAGGTTCCAGCACGTTCCTTGCCGGGAACCCTCTTCGGAGGTGGAACTTCTCCTTGCTTGTGGAACCCTCTTTGGAGGGCAGCCATCAGGTAGCAAATTGCTTGATCATTGAGGATGCCGTCAGCAAGGCGTTGGGAAAGGCGCTCTATGCTCTCCACAACAACCACTGCCATTTTCACAGAGGTGGTGGTGGTAGATGCGGCGATGGTCGCGGGCAGCTGCCACCAAAGGCAGTTGAGAGTGGCAGGGCTTCGAGGGCTGCAAGTTGGGTCTTGAGTCCAGCGGAAGCCGTGCTGACTTAGGGTGGGGAAACCCATTGCCACAAAAGGTCAACGATGGTCAATGGTCATCCACAGGGTATGGAAACCTCCGCAGTGCAGCAAAATCGCAAAACAGGTACAAGCGGCTATTGCAAGCGACTTTCAATGTTTGCGTGCCTTCAGAACCGGGTGGTTTGCTAGTCCAACATCCTGACTTCATTGCTGACAGGACGGCAAAAACAAGGCAACTTCGCGATTGGCTTGTTCTCGGGCAACTTGATCGCAAGTTTGGTGACCTCGCTCCATTTCAACAGCACCTTTCTTGACAAATACCCCCCATGAACTCCATGAAGTCACCGCCCCGAAGGAAAGAAAGGAATTCACCAACCAACCTGTACCATGTCTGCATCGCCACCGGACACCTCTCCACCGTTCGGCTCCGCTCCAGATCCATCCGCCGCTGCAGCTGCTCGAGCATCTCCCGTCGACCCAACTCCGCGACGTCGCCTGCGGAGCGCCAAGCGCGGCGCGTTGTGATGGAGGAGAGGTGAACTTAGTGGGGGAAGAGTGGTGAACAACGAGAAACAGGGTGATAGAAACATATGGAAACTATGATCTTGGGGCCGAGACACCCTAAGACCCACTCTCTGCTGGACTGAAGGAAAGAAGGGGGTCAGTGTAACCTTTGCTTTTCCACCGGACTTTGCGAATCATGAAAGCGCTCAGGGCTTCGCTATAAGAGGCTATAGGCCTTGGATGCCCACCCGTGTCTTACTGATTCTACCAGCACCTTGCACCGAACACACGGGGTCCAATTGCAGGGCCTTCGGCGGCCTTTGGCCTTCTGCATTACATGAAGAGCACGATGTGCCTTACTTACCCACATCAGAAACCGCTCTCCGCCCGGTCTCCCCCCGCCTTCGGCCAGGTTCGGCTCGCGGAGCCGCGAGGCGCACACCACGCCCCGCGCGCCGATCC